TTTTTTGGATCTTTTCCAGATGTGTACATGGTTTTCACAATGTGGCGAACTAAGTTGGACATGATACTCTGATAAGGGTCTGACTGCTGCAGAGTGTATTGGAACCACTGGGCTAGGATTCAGAAAGATTCTAGCTCCTTGACTGCCAGGAGCCAGTGGTTTGATCTTGGACAAGCCACTTCCCCTGTCTGGACTTCATGCTCTTCATCACTAAAGTGAGAGTATCAGACTACATGATCTCTTAACATTTCTTCCAGCTCTGATGCTTGTGTTCAATAATTTTGCTAAAATTAACATACCTCAGTCAATGAATCTGTGCTTAGCATGTAATAGTTGGACAATAAATGTTTGCCAAACTGAATTGAATCATAGGAATTTCCACTGAAGTTTTCTCTTAGTATGTACTAAACCTTTTAATTTCCCCGACGTCCTCCATCCCTTCCAGGAGGGATGTATGTCTTTTATAGAAATGAGAACCAGTGTGCAGTGGTGAAGCTGCTGTCTCCCAAAGTGTCGCAGGCACCAGCATCGGAGGAGTGAGGATTCTCAGGTTTCACAGACAATGAGGCCCAAACTGTTTCTAGTCACTTCTCTACTGCCGTAGCCAATCTATTAAAATGCCTGTGTGATTCTGGAAAGAAAACAAGTGCCCATGAAAAGCAGGTTATAAATACATCCAATTATAAATATATCCCATTAAAAATAGATATTGACAAGGAGCTCCAGATAGAGCTGTCCTCAGCAAACTGAGCTGAGCAAAGTGGCCTATTATCCAGAAAGCAATAATACTTTCTTACGTGATTCCTTAATAATATCTTTGGAGTTGTATAAGCCTCATAACTAGCTACTAAATAGTGTATGTGGTCAGTTAAGAATTGGGCTTGAATGGTCCAGTAAAGATAGAATTAGGACTGAACACATATTTTTCCTCTTTGTGTCATAGGACTTACAAACCCCAGTGACTATGTTGCTGGAAGGACTGAGCTGACTTTCGAAAGTGAGAGTGGCAAGCGGTCCTTAACATCTCTGGTCTTTAACAACTCCCATGGAGACCTCTGGCCTGGGGCAGTGGAAGAACCACAGACCTGGAACCAGAGGGCCTGGGCTTCTACCCCAGGTCCTGCATGCCCTACCTCGATGACCTTGGATATATGGTTTGGCTCTTTGTCCCCATACAAATCTCACGCTGAATTGTGAACCCCCGTGTTAGAGATGGGGCCTGGTGGGAGGTGATTGGATCATGGCGGGGGAGGTTTCTAATGGTTTAGCACCAGCCCCCTAGTGCTGTCTTGTGATAGAGTTCTCACAAGCTCTGGTTGTTTGAAAGTGTGTAGCACCTCCCCCTTTTCCTCTCGCTCCTGCTCTGCCAAGGTAAGACGTGCTTGCTTCTCATTCGCCTACTGCTGTGATTGTTAAGTTTCCTGAGGCCTCCCAGCCACGCTTCCTGTACAGCCTACAGAACTGTGAATCAATTAAACCTCTTTTCTTTATAAATTACCCAATCTCAGATAGTTCTTTATAGCAGTGTGAGAATGGACTAATACACTTGGGGAAACTAGTTAACCTCTTTTGAACCTCAGGTTTGCATTAGAAATTAAATGAGGTAATATGTGAGAAAGCAGCCTAATATAGTGTTTGGCAGGTGGGAAAACTCAATTAGTGTCTTGTAATGATGGTCCAAAGTTGGGTTGTGATATAGGAATGAAACTGCAGTGATTTAGCTGGCGTGTGTTGTGGTTGAGGCCCTGCTGGGACACCACATTCAAATTGTATAGAAGCTCTTTCCCCAATGTTTTGTCCACTAAGGTTGCCATAATAGTGTCACAATGGGCAGCTTAAACAAAAGAAATCGATCTCCTCACAGTTCTGGAGGCTGGGTTGGCTTCTGCTGTGGCATCTCCGCTTGGCTTACAGATGGCTGCCCTCTTGCTGCCTCTGCATGGGGCCTCTCTCTGTGCACTCTTGTTCCTGGTGCCTCTTTGTGCGTCCTCATCTCTTCTTTTTATAAGGACACCAGTCACATTGGATTAGGGCCCACCCCAGTATCCTCGCTTCATCAGCTCTTTAAAGGCCCTATCTCTACAGTCACATTCCCAGGTACTGGGGGTTAAGATTCAATATAGGAATTTAGGTGGGGGGATACAATTCAGTCCATAAGACCCAGGAACTCACTGAGACTGCAGGAGGACCTTAAATCACAGGGCTGCGTGGGTTTTGCAGTGCGGCCCCGTTTGTAATGTATGAAATTCTATGCTCAAGGCTAATCTTCCCCCGACTTTCTTTTCTTTTCCTGGGAGGAAGACTCAAGTGAACATCTCCATTTTGACAAGTATATATCTCTTCTTTCTTTGCAGAGATTCTTTACCCATGGTTTCTTAGGTTTATGAACAATGAAGCTGAAAGAAGTTCCTTTCCTTTCTGGGTGAGCCCCTGGGTTTCTGGAAGATCCTTAAAATCTTAAAATGGCTTCTGAGCACTGAAGCCCAAGCTGTTAGCTGACCTGTGTGAGGCCATGAGACAGAATGCCACAGCCACACCCCAAGGATGCTGAAGGGGATTTCCCTCTTCTGTGGTTTTTCTCCTTTCTCCTCGCGGGGCTCCTCCTACATGGTGAGTCATCCAGAACTGCAAACACACAGCCAGCTGTTTGGAATACAAGAAATAACTGCAGCCAGAGGCATCTTGGGTCCAAGCTCTCTTCTCTCTTTCTCTCTTTTATTGCTCATTTCCCAAGTCACTTCCCTTCCTCTCCCTCACTTCCCCTTCCTGTTCTTCCTAGGACTTAATGCAGGTATCTGGTGACGTTGGGTCTTTGACAGTCAATGTCGGACCTCACTAACATTGATATTTATCAAAGTAACGGTTACATCAAAACCCTTTTTCATATACTTGAAGTATTGTCTTTCTTTTTTTTTCCTTCCTTTCTCTCTCTCTCTTCTCTTTCTCTTTTTCTTTCTTCTTTCTTTTTCTTGTTCTTTCTTTCTTTTGTCTTTCTTTCTGTCTTTCTTTTTTGAGACTGAGTCTCACTCTGTCACCCAGGCTGGAGTACAGCTGGAGGAATCCCGGCTCACTGCAACCTCTGCCTTCCCAGTTCAAGCAATTCTCCTGCCTCAGCCTCCTGAGTAGCTGGGATTTCAGGATTGCGCCACCACACCTGACTAACTTTTTGTATTTTTTAGTAGAAATGGGGTTTCACCATGTTGCCCAGGCTGGTCTCAGACTCCTGGGCTCAAGTGATCCGCCCGCAGTGGCCTCCCAAAGTGCTGGGATTACAGGTGTGAGCCACTGCACCAGCCTGCATTTCTTTCTTAAGGTGTAATCACTTTCCTTGTTGAACCTAGAGCATAAGCTAATATCTAGAATGTTAACTTCTCATGAACAAGAACCATACTGTATCCTCCATAGCCGATGCTTTACGCATGGTCATGCTCAAACACCTTTTGAAGAAAGCAATGAAACTTCTAAGAAAAATATTACTCTCTGAGAGGAATAGACTTATAGTTAGTTTTAAAGAAACTTGGGGAATCCCCTGAGTTGTGTAAACCTGGAGAGTGTGCCACCAGTACAGCTTTGACCAGTTACTCTGGTGATACCATTTCAGCCACTAAGCTTAGCCATAGGTACAGTTTAAAATATGTATATAACTTCTTTTGATACTAAAATGTAAAGCAGGTAATCATATAAAGTCATTTTAATAGACATAAATGCCTAGGTAAAATGTATTACCATATTAACTAGATATGATTTTATCATGTTTGTTTGTTAAAAATATATTTTTCCTTCTCGTGGCTTCAAAGTTAGAAATACCCTCTTAGATACTTGCTCTGGCATTCAAGTCTCTGAAGTTTTATTGAAGTTAATGTCTTCAGGCTTTCTTAAATAGGTGGGGGCAGTAGGCTCTGACCCCATTCTAATCGTGCTTGCTCTCTTTCTCTCCTCTTTTTGCCATCAAAGGAAGAGGAGGGCAATGAAGAAATGGATTGGATCTCATTTTTCCATCTCGGACCTTTCCTGTGCTCCTTTCCACTTAGTAGAGGTAAGTAATCAAGATTGGGTACACATGTGAAACTTGTACTTATTAATTCAGCAAGTATTGAATATAAATATACTCTGTGTCAGACATTCTGTCAGGTTCAGGCACTGCAGAGATGAAAAAGTCACAATCTTGGCCTGCAAAGAGCTCATAGTCTACTGGGGAGTAGAAATAGAACCGAATCATTCTTCCAGACTAAGATACTGGAAATATGTATAAAGGACTATGAGAGTACTGAGGAGGGGTTTGCCTCTTAGTATAAAGAGAAGGAAGGTTAGAGACACTGGAACTAGGTCTTGCAGGATGTCTAGAGTTTTGCTAGATGAGAAGGAGGGGTAAGGACTATATAATGAGAACATAAGAAATTTGGTTTTTCATTCCTGAGTTTCTTCACTTAGAATAATGGTCTCCAACTCCACCCAAGTTGCTGCAAAAGGCATGACTTCATTCCTTTTTAAGGCTGAGTAGTATTCCATGGTATATACATACCACATTTTCTTTATTAATTTATTGGTTGATGGGTACTTGGGTTGGTTCCACGTCTTTGCAGTTGTGAATTGTGCTGCTTTAAACATGCACATGCATGTGTCTTTTTTATATAATGACTTACTTTCCTTTGGGTAGATACCCAGTAGTGGGATTGTTTAACTGAATGATAGCTCTACTTTTAGTTCTTTAAGGACTCTCCATATTGTGTTCTATAGTAGTTGTACTAATTTACATTTCCACCCAGGGCTAGAATAATTTAAGCAATAAAATAAATAATGATAGGCTTGTATTATAGCTAACAACAACAAATATGTGTGTGTGTGTGTGTGTGTGTGTGTGTGTGTGTGTGTGTATGTATGTTATATGTACATATATCCACTAGTCCATGCAGGCTTAAATAAATGATTGAATAAATAAATAAATAGAGAGGAAGGGACAACTATTTTTTTACAGAGGAGTTTTCAATAAAATCTGTAGACCATTTCTCCTTCAGAAAGTAGAGCTTAAGTCCTCTTCCCTTGAGTGTAGGCTGGACTTAGTGATTCATTTTCAAAGAGTAAAATATCAAAAAGGACAATTAGTAGTTTTGTGGAGTGCTGTGGCAGACATCATCTTAAACAAGCGATGGGATTATCCTCGCTAGTGATGTTATACACCCCTGCTGTGATGATGAGAAGCACCACACCTCTGTGGCATTATCTTTAAAGCCCATAGCATGTAAATTCATCTAACAGACTTACATTGGGAACTCTTCAAAAGTATCAAGGCTGTAAAAAACAAAGACTGAAAGACCATCCCAGATCAGCAGAAACTAAGGAGATAAGATGACTAAATGCAATGTGGTACCCTAGGTGACTCCTGGAAGAGAAAAAGAACATTAGTGGGAAAACTTGTGAAATCCAAATAATGCCAGTAATTTGATAGTAGTATTATATCAGTGCTAGTTTCTAGTTGTGATAAAGGTGCCATGGTTATATAAGATGCTAGCATTAGGGGAAATTAGTGAAGTATATATATGAACTTTCTGTACTATGTAATTTTTTGTAAGTCAAAAATAATTCCAAAATAAAAATTTATTAAAAAAATAAAGATAGCTTGGTGAAGGTAAGATAGCTTGGTAAGGCCTAATATTATGTGCTTCCTTGACATCTAGTGCAACTGGGGAGGTCTCAAATGACCTAACTGCAGGCTCTCCTCCCTACTCCACCCCTGCAGCTGACATCTCCTAGTCAAACAACTCTCCGTTTCAAAGGGACCAGGCACAGTTTCTGCTTATCCCTGAGTAGCAGTTTTCAGTTTCCTGCCAGCTTGTGGAGTTTCTCAAACAAGCCAATCATCTCCTCCTGTGGGAACTGAGAAGCACCCCACCCTCTTGATACTACAAAGCCCCTGGTTGTTCCCTAGTATACCCCCTGTGTGGTCCTGTGTAGCATATGGTATCTTCCTCTCTTAGGCAGTGAGTGTATGTGACTAATAAAGTGTCTGTCTCATCTGTTCAGTGCCAGCTCTCATTTGTTCTGCCATCCCCTAACCTAGGGTGGGGATCCCTTCCACACCAACAGGGTGAATGCAAGGTGGTTAAAACAAGACGCCTCTTCAGAATCTATATCCTAGGGAAAAAATTAACAACAACTATAACAAAACCAGAAGCCTCAACTCGGACCCTGCATTCCAGATGTGTTACAGGGGCCTCTCTCCCCAGAGCCACTTTCTGGTCAGAGCTTACCTCCTCTTGCTCAGGGTTAGGAGCTCTGGGCAGGAAAAGGACATCATGCTGAAAGCTGGAGATGAAGAGGGGAATATGGTAGTGAGGAGACAAAGGAAGAGAGGCCAAGGAAATAGAAAAGGGAGGAGATGACACACCTTGAAGGCTCCAGCCAATGCTCAGGATATGCCAAAAGGCATTACGGGGCTTTAGGCCAGTGCCTCACAGAGTACCTGGCATGCAGTAGGTGCTCAATTAGTATTGGAGGAGTCGGAAATTTTTACTGCCATAAGGCTTAGAGTAGGCTTCACTGAAAGGGATTGTATCAAAGCAGTACATTAAGAACTTGATCCAGCCATGCAGTGGGCACTGCATTAGGTTTTACAAGCTTAGAATGTTCCCAACACACCATCTGGCTGTATGGCCTTGGACAAATCCTCCAGTCTCTCTGAGTGTATATATTCTCAACCATAAGTGAGGCTAACGGAACCCATGTGGTTCATGCTTACCCAACTGGCCGAGACCCAAATATAATGTTCTATGTGAATGTGTAAAAAGTGTTAAATATCATAGCATTAGTAAACATATTAAACACACTGATTTGTGGGGCAGGAAGATTATGAGAGAGTATAAGAGTAAGGATTAAAAGATGTGGCTTCTGTTCTCAGGAAAGGTATAGCCGAGTAGGAAGGAACACAGAAGTCACAGCAGTTTCAGCAAAGTCAGAGGTTCCATGGAAGAGGTGCACACAGCATGCGGCAACAGGGAAGACTTGACCGGGGGATGGATAGAGATTCCACTGAGGAGGTATGACATGAACTGGACCTTGAAGCATGAGTAATTTGATATGGGGCGACCAGCAGGGTTGGAATCAAAAGGCTGGTTCAAATATTAGTCTCTATATTTACTGGTTCCGTGACGTTGGGCAAGTCTGAATCTTTCTGAATCTTAGTTGTCTCATCTTCAAAAGGGGATAACAACATCTATAGTTGGGATGAGAATCAAATGGACGATACAAGTGAAAGTGCCCCACAGAGTGCCTGGCATGCAGTAGGTGCTCAGTTAATGTTAGCTAAGCTGAAGTTTTTATTGTTATGAAGGCTGGAGCAGGCTTCCTTGGATGGGGGTTTGATCCAAGGAGCAGGTTAAGAACTTGGCCCATCCTTGGAGATTTCCCAGACATCATTAGACTTGTTCTGAAATGCTTCCCATCAGCCAGAGAGCCTTCAGAGCTATCTTGGGGATAGAGAGTGGGCCAGGGAGTGAGGCCTGGACAGCTGTGTTCCCACGGATTAGAAAATGAGGTGGGGAAGTAAGCCTCCCTCATGGGCTGTCCACTCTGGGGACTGGGCAATGGAGGCAGGTACCGCCTTTCTGGCTTGGCAGTTATCAGCAAGCATATGGCAGCTGGCTTCAGTGGCTGCCACCCCAACAGGTGGTGGTCCACTTAGCCGTCATCTGCCATCT